GAGCTGGTGGAGAGGCCTGGGTTTGGACTTTCTGCGGGGTATGGTATGGTACCCTCGCGCAACCCACCTCGAGACCATACCCCCCCGCCTGCTGACAGACCCAGCCTCCCGGAGACCGGGGATGGGCGGTCAGGACCATACCCCCCCACCCTTTGGGCCGCGAGCCCACCATACCATACCCCGGAAAAAGTTGGAACCCTGATGCTCTCGCCCGCTTTAGGGCCGATTTAAAAAGAATTTTAGGCCGAAAAAGAATTTTATAAGAAAACTCCCTCGCACAACACTGGGCACGGGACTGGCGCGCACTGGCACTAACACAGGCATAAAAAGAATTTTACAACTTCTCCCTCGCCGACGATAAAAAGAATTCGCGGAGACACTGGGCATGTTTGCAGCCTCTCTGGTGTCGCTGCTGGCGCCGGTGCTCCTTCAATCAACGTCCTTCGGTGCTGGGCCTCCGCAGTCTGGTGTCCCTGGACGCTCCACCTGCAAACCGCTGCAGCAAGTCTCTGTGTGCAGACGCTGCATTGACCATTGTGAGGTGACTGCGACCACTTTCGACGAGGGGGAATGCGCGTGTTTTTTTTCGTATTGGCTCGAGCGGAGAGGCCCCGCCCTGTGCTGCCAAATACGAATATCTCCATCATATCTGTGCACTGTGGCGATGCCGACTTTTCCCCACATAGTATGAAGCACACGCGTGGCGACCTCCACCCACACCAGACACTCTCTCTCGTCTCGCCACGTACCTCTCGCGCCGCGCGCGCACCCTCTGCGCCTTGCCCCCACCCACTGCTAAGTAAGGGCGTCCTCCTCGTGTGACGTGTCGTCCCGACACCCGGCCAGCCCCGGCTAGTCCAGGCCCTGGGCATGGGGCCGCCGCCGCGCCCCGCCCTCCTCCTCTGGGGCTACATGAAGGTGCAGCACTGGTTCTGCTTCTTGGCCGTCTTGAAGAACATCTTCGACGAGCCCGACAGGTCGTTGGACTTGTTGATGAGCGTCTCGATCTTACACCCTCTCTCCAGCGCCGCCTCGATGGTCTCGTGGAGCACCTGCGCACCGCCGCAGCAAGGCAGGAGGCGTCGGTGAGGCGAGGGCGGCGGGCCAGGCCCGGGTGCAGTGAGCTGTCGAGGGGAGGCGGCGTGCGGGGTTGGGGCCCAGAGGCGTCGCACCACCCCCCTCCCTCTCCTTCGGACTCCTTCGGAGGAGGGGCAGTCTCTCGGGCCAGGCGGGCGGGCAGGGGCGGGGACACATCTCGGGTGTATCTCGGACACATCTCGGGTGTATCTCGGACACATCTCGGGTGTATCTCGGACACATCTCGGGTGTATCTCGGACACATCTCGGGTGTATCTCGGACACATCTCGGGTGTATCTCGGGCACATCTCGGGTGTATCTCGGACACATCTCGGGTGTATCTCGGACACATCTCGGGTGTATCTCGGACACATCTCGGGTGTATCTCGGGCGTGTCTCGGGTGTATCTCGGACACATCTCGGGTGTATCTCGGACACATCTCGGGTGTATCTCGGGCGTGTCTCGGGTGTATCTCGGGTGTATCTCGGACACATCTCGGGCGCGTCTCGGGCGCGTCTCGGGCGTGTCTCGGGCGCGTCTCGGGCGTGTCTCGGGCGTGTCTCGGGCGTGTCTCGGGCGCGTCTCGGGCGCGTCTCGCACCAACTTGGTCTTCTCCAGCTCTGCCATGATCTGCGTCAGCTGGTCCGCCTGCCCCGGGTCCTGGAACTTAACCAGCAGCTCCTGCGGAGGCGCAGAGGAGGCACCACGGGGGGCGGGCGTTGAACACCGGAG